CTGGGCTCAAGCCATCCTCTCACTTCAGTCTCCCAAGTAGCCAGGACTATGGGCACTCACTTTCATGCCCAGGTTATCTTTATTTTTATTTTTTTGAGTCACCACATCCTTGACTTCCTGGGTACAGGCAATTCTTCTGTCTCAGCTTCCCATGTAACTGGGATTACAGGCAAGCACCACTATGCCTGGCTAATAATTTTACTTTTTGTAGAGATGAGGTCTAGCTATGTTGTCTACACTGGTTTTGAATTTCTGGGCTCAAGCAGTCCTCCTGCCTCAGTCTCCCAAAGTGTTGGGATTACAAGCAGCGTAATCCACCACTCCTGACCTAGCTAATGAAAGAAAAAATTGTTTGATAGTGATAGGCTCTCACTGTGCAGCCCATTCTGATCTCAAACTACTGGCTTCAAGCCATCATGCTCCCCTGAAAGAATTAAATTAGACAATATACATGAAAGGTTTAGAATACTGTTCCACAGTTAGTCCCTCTCCTCCCCTCCCCCCCTGCAAGTTTAGGTGTGGTCTGTTGCTAAATACACTAAACAGCTGTTAGAATCTCCAGAGCTTGGTTTACAGAGATGAGTAATGTATTTCTTCCTTCCAGGAAATTTCTGCCCTTCTAGAAGCTTCTTTTCTTCAGTTTCTTCCCCTAGTATTTCATAAACATAGTTTAGGTACTCATTACTTGAAAGAGCTACTTAAAAATGACTATTTTCAAGCCTCACCCCAGAGAATCTGACTTAGTAAGTCTGGGGTGAGAGTCTAGGAACATACCTTTTTAAAAAAGTACCCGGAGAAAAAAGAAAACAAAAACAAGAAAAAAATCTGCACCCAGAGGATTCTGATAGAGCCTGTCTTTTTGAGAAACCCTGATGTAGGAGAGATGCCATTAACTGCCCTCTAATACATTTATAATAAAGGTATACAAGAAGATGATGTCATTTGAATTGTACTGGGGCTAGGGGCAGAATTTTTTTCAGGAGCTAGAAGGTAACAATAAAAACTTTTTTTACTTGGAAGGCTGAGGTGGAAGGATCGCCGTAGCCCAGCAGGTCGAGGCTGCGGTGGCTGGGAGTGGCCACTGCACTCCAGTCTGGGTGACAGAGTGAGACTCCAACTCAAAAAAAAAAAAAAACAAACAAACTTTTTTTAAGCTGGGCTCAGTGGCTCAGCCTGTAATCCCGCGCCTTGGGAGGCTGAGGTGAGTGGATTGCCTGAGCCCGCGGGTTCGAGACCCACCTGGGCAACTTGGCGAGACCTCATCTCTACAATAAATCAAAAAATTAGCCGGGCGTGGTAGCGCGCGCTTGCAGTTCCAGCTACTTGGAAGGCTGAGGCAGGAGGATGGCCAGAGCCCAGCAGGTCAAGGCTGCAGTGGCCAGGAGCGTGCCACTACACTCCAGTCTGGGTGACAGAATCAGACTCCAACTCAAAAACAAACAAACAAACAAATATATTTTAAAACAAAAAATTGTTTTAATTGAGCCATTTATAAACGTGGTTTTATACAAGGCATTGTTTTATTTTCTTAAGAGTTTAATTTTAAAGATGTGGGGTACAATTCAGAATCACTGTAAATTCAAGTGGTCATTTACAGGCATAGTTTGGGCCTCCCTTTGGTCCCCACTTTGTCTGGTTTGAGATCAGGTACCTTTTTTTTTTTTTTTTTTGGCTTAATCAAAAATGGTATTTATTGGGTTGCACAGGGAAGGGAATAATCCAGGGTTAAGTTCGAGTCCTACTAGTAGAGGCTGTCAGATTCAGATGTGGTCAGGGCAGCAGTTCCTCTTGTGCATTCCTCAGCACCCTTCTCTTCAGCTTTAGGTAGGCTTTTTTTTCCATATCCCAGGATATGAGCTTGCAACTCCTAGGGCGGTGTATTCCCTTGTTTATTTTTTATTTTTTTGAGTTGGAGTCTCACTCTGTTGCCCAGACTGGAGTGCAGTGGCCGCTCCCGGCCACCGCAGCCTCACCTGCTGGGCTCCGGAGATCCTTCCACCTCAGCCTTCCGAGTAGCCGGAATTACAGGCATGCACTACCACGCCCGGCTGATTTTTTTTTATTTATATTGTAGAGATGAGGTCTTGCTGCCCAGGCGGGGGCTCAGGCAATCCACTCATCTCAGCCTCCCAAAGGCGCGGGATTACAGGCTGAGCCACCGAGCCCGGCTATTCCCTTGTTTATAAACATCAGCAAAGAAGGGTCTCAGATCCCTGAAATTCGAGCTGAAGTCCCTGAATTGGGCCTCTTTGGCCCTGGTTGTCCTGATTTGTGTAACATGTTCATTGACAAGTCAATCTCTGGGCAAGTTGGGGTAAGATCAGGTACCCTTATTGATGTTCCTACTCCCACCCCCCACTTAAGAAGTTATAGGCCAAGATAGCTGAAAGCCAGGAGTTGCAAACCAACCTGAGCAACTAAGCAATACTGTCTCCACAAAAAAAAAAAAAAAAAAAAATTAGCCAAGCATGGTGTCCTGTAGTCCAATTAAAAAAGAAAAATAGTCTAGCATGGTGGCTCAGCCTGTAATGTAATCCCAGCACTTTGGGAGGCTGAGGCAAGAGGACTGCCTGAGCCTGCAGGGACCAGCCCAGGCAACTTGGTGAGACCTTGTCTCTACAATAAATCAAAAAAAATTAACCGGGCATGGTGGCATGTGTCTGTAGTTCCAGCTACTTGGAAAGCTGAGGCAGAAGGATCGCCTCAGCCCAGCAGGTTGAGGTTGAGGTAGCCGTGAGCGTGACACTGCACTCCAGCCTGGGTGACAGAGTGATCCAACTCAAAAAAAGAAAAAGAAAAAGAATTACTAGACAACTTCTCATGGGACTAGTCTGGATTGGAATTTAACACTACAACTCTTAAGCCTTGTGACCTTGGTCAAGTGACAGAATTAACTTCCCAGCCTATATTTCTTCGCTTATAAAATACATAATACCTCTAATATTTCACAATAATATCCTCCTCGTAGGGGTGACACGAGGAATGCCAAACACTTACCTGACAGGCACCTAACACAGTAGGCAGTCAACCATCACTCCACCTTTTCCAGGTCCAGCTCAAGGGAGCCGAGGCCTCAGTTCTTCCCTTCAAAGGGCATATCTTTTAGGGGAACCGATTTTAAAATATGAGAGCCTACAATGAAGTGGCAACACATGAGATAGCAGTGCTAAAGGGAATGCCCTCACGTCATGGAGAAGCCATGACGGTCGCCTTCACCAAAACGAGGATAAAAGAGGCCAGAAAGTTGGCGTCTTGGGTGACGTCTTTCAACCTTCCTGATTGCATAAAAGCAGCAGCTTGGCTGTCTTGCTTTATGCGGAGGCAGCATTCATTATTAAAGGGGAAAAAAAGGAAGTGACTTATGGGACCTTCACTCTGGGTTCTCCGATGATGCACTTTAGCCTCCAAGACAAACTCTTGGAAAGTTAGCCGGCCATACGTTACGTGACTAGTGCCTTTGTCTGGGCAACTTAAGATGGCGTTTTCTGGAGTCTCACGAAGACTCTGCATACAGGCCGCTCAATATTCACTTATTTTGTGAGCGCTGCCGCCTGATTTCGGTCCGCCTGCGCTCACGGGGCTTCCATCCACATGGGGAAGTATCCGGCTGCCTGTCCGTCCACCCGGGGAGGGAGTGAGAATTGAGAGGCACTTTATAAGGGTGGTTAAACAAAGACGCGAACGAGCCCCGGCGGGAAAGCAGAACTGCTCGCCTAAGGACTTGGCTCAGACACTTGTTGAGCCGCAGGGCTCAGCTGAAACGTCCCACCTAATCACTGTAAAGACGTCCCCTGAGGAAGGCCAATATGGCGACGGACTCCTCTTGGCACAGCCCTCTTCCCTCCCTCACGATGGGCGGCTCGGGTAACGCCCATTGGTCAATCTGGAGGCGGTGCCAGGCTTACTTCGTCCCCTCATTGGACGGAATAACTGAGGGAGATGCCAATTCTCCTCTGCCCACTCCAAGTTCCCGCCCTCAGTGTTCTTTCGGCGTTTAATTGGCTCTGAGTTTACGTCAATATGCGTCTTTTCCTGTCTCTTTTCAGTGTGAATCCAATCATAACTTCCTTGGCTGCCCGCCTGATTTCTGATTGGTTTTGACCAGCTTCATCCTCTCCCATTCGGGCCTACTTCTTACCGCTCCTCCCACTAGGAGTTTGCCCAGACATGTCTCGGATTCTGGTTGGTTCTTGGTCTGTCACTCCTATCAAAGCTCTCCGTATCCGTACCGCTAAGGGAGCCCGCCTGGCAGTTGACTGGTTTCTTTCTAAGCCTATCATCGCCACTTCCCGCCCATCCTCACTTCCTGGATCTTTCATTGGTTTTCAAAACCGAGAAGGCGGTCTTTTAGGGCGGACACCCGGCACGCAACTTTGTCTTACACGCCTCAGAGAGCAAGAGAGTATTGCTATTGGGTAATCTGACTGACTTTCTTCTGCAAGTCCCTCCTTTCCCCCTCCCTCATTGGGCGGGGCAGCAGCGAAGGGGCGGAGCCTAGGTCGGGCTTGTGGCGCGCTGCTCCCTCCTCCTTACCCCCCCCTCCCTGTCCGGTCCGGGTTCGCTTGCCTCGTCAGCGTCCGCGTTTTTTCCCGGCCCCCCCCAACCCCCCCGGACAGGACCCCCTTGAGCTCGTCCCTCAGCTGC